CATTTGTTTTCATCGACTGCATAATTGACCCGCAGCCATTTTTTTACCATTCACGCACACTTTTTGCGCATTGATATACATTTTTCAGAGCTTAATAATAGAGTTTGCAATGGAATTATGCATTTTTATGAACTTTTGCACCAAAGCGATTTTTTTCCGGAGGATTCGTAGAAAATTTGTTGACCTTGAGCTATGGACATTTTTATTATTTTATTCAGGATTTATTTTGGATGACAATTTTTATATTTCGTTTATTAAATTGACAGGAATGAAGAATGGATTTTTAACATACGAACAATTTTTACAAACAACACTTGAATGTGTGTAATTTCAATAACTTACTGAATTAAATATATGTTCATAAAGCGAAACTCCGCAAAACAAGTTGAATGCTGGAATTTAGTTCTAAATTTTGAAGATAATAATGCAAATTCTACATTTCAATGATTTTTTTCTAAACATGTTCAATTTTTTATCATCATTTTTGAAGTAATTTTTATTCTCTATGTTGTGAAATTCCATGGTCAATTTCGATGAACTTTTCGAATTTTCTGTATAAAAGGTTTGCTTCTACCATCAAAAATCATGTGCTTCTTATTTAAAATAAAGAAGAAAGTTCATAGGTGAAACCAATGTTGAAATATCGTTCAAACCATCGATTTCCACCATTCATTCCATGTAACAATTCATTTGAATTCGTAATTTGTATCAGAATTCTGTTTCACCTAAGCCCACTCAAAGCTAATTGCTATAAAAATGTGTGGATTTCCGAAAAAAAAAACAAACAAATCTCAGAATCATTTGAACGATGAGTGAGCTTAAAGTGGATAGATTGAGATGAAATTCCGTGTCCATTTTTGGTATGGCCTGAATTTCCGGTGGGAAATCGGCTAAAATTTATTTGGGATCCATTTTAATCTACTAGAAAAGATGCTTTCGGTTCTGTAAATCGGATGTGAATATTTTGGTAGCTATTTGATGCAAAAATGGTATTTTTTGTGAGATTCAATTTTAATTGAGAAGACGTGATTGGCGTTCGCCTCTAAAGCATTTGAAAATACCGCAATCGGTTGGCAGAGCAGGGCAGGACAAGGGAAAAATGTTCTGTATGAAAATGTATCAGCAGAGATAATCTGTCGAAGCGAGATGAGATAGACGGAGAGAGAGTGAGAGAGCAAGAACGGGGTGCGCATGATGGTGTCGAGTGTTCGACGTTGAGTGGAAATTGCGTACACCTTCACACGAGCCATTCTTTATCCTGATTAAATATTTACCATCCGTAAATGATTTTACACTCTCTTGGTGCACGAGAATGCAATTTAAAAATGTGCGAAGCAAACATAGAGCGCGTACAGACATTTTTTCGTTGGGGATCGGATATGGGTAAGCGGGGTGGTATAGAGCGGAGTATGTGTGTGCATGTGATGTGTGCGTATTGTTTCGCTTATTTCGGGTTAATTCATTTAATGGAAAACTCTCTCTGTTCACTGTTCTGTGTGTATCGTCGGGAAAATTGGAGAATCTTGAAACTGGACACATGGAGCATGTGTGAAAAGTATGATGGTGACGAGACAAGAACCCAACGATGCTCAGTTGTTGTTCAATTGGTAAATACCTACCCAAAAAGAGAGCTCATAATGATTGCCAGTGTTGTTCGTTCGTTCGTTGTTGTTTTTTTTCCTTTCTGCAGCACTTTCTTCTAATATATATACGTGCGAGAGGCCTTCCGAAAAAGTGAGAGCGAGAGCAAGAGCGAACGAACGTGCGAACGAGCGCGCAACGAGTAAATGGTGTGCAAGTTTGAGCATTAGATTTAGCCCATTGAATGGTGTAAATACATAGCACATACGGGCGGCTTTTGGTGGCGATGTGTATTTCGTTCGCCTTTATTTTGTGTGCGCTCTGTATGTGTACATAGAGAGACAAAGTGCTCACTCTTTCGCCTCGGCGAAAAGAAAATTTATTGGGTAGAAAAGGAGTGGCTTGTATTAGTATTGAAAATAGAAGGCGATACCAACACCAAATGCTTGTAACGCCAGAGGTGTGATTTTTAGACACCAACTGCACACGACACTCACACATACTCATCCATCCCATATACAAATACATGCACACATCTACACACTCAGACACATATGAATACACGCGCCCGAGCGACGAGAGTGAGTTTGCTACTTGCTCGAAACCGAAAGATTTTCGGACGACAAAAATATTGAATTCGCACTGACACTCTCACTCACTCATACACACAGCGAACGAGTAAACGAGGCGCGTTCGCGTTGAACGGCAGCTGAGCAGTCAATACACCAATACCAAGCAGAGGAAAAGTATGTGTTTGAGTAGAGAGACGACGACGATGATGATGACGACGACGACAAGAGAAAAAAGGGCAAACGACTAGCGCTAACATTGTCGCCCAAGAGGGACAGGGAGATATGCTGAACCAAACAAAGACAAACAATTTCGATGAGCTCATTCGCGTTTATTCAACAGCGATAGCAACAGCAGACGTATAGCAGCAGCAGCAGCAGCAGCAGCTCGGTGTTGCATTTGTATTGACACCCGTGTGGCTTCGGTTAAATCGCTTGGCACACGAATGAAAACACACAAAATTTTGCAGCAGCAGCTCTCACTCTGTGTGTAAACGTATGCGTATTTGATGGCGAATATGTGCGAGTGGCGACAAATCGACACCAAACGTTGCAAGTATGTGTAAACACACAAAAATCACACTCAAAGGCGTTTCGTCAGCCACACACAAGCCATTGCCCGTGTGCAAATTTTCAAGCCACCGAAAAATGTTTAAATTCCCCCCTTCAACGACAACGACGACGATGAAGACGGCGACAACAACAACCTCAGCAGCAGCCCAGAATGAAAAAAACAAGGAACGACGGCATGTAGGAAAATCATTATCACTGCCGAGCTGTTGGAGCATAATCGACTTAAAAGTTCCGTCCTGAAGTGTGCAATTCGTTCTTTTTTCGCTCTCTCGCTCTGATCTTTCTTTGTGTGCTCACAACGAGTGTGAGAGATAGTGTTGAAGAGCTGACGAAACTCACACAAAAACTTGGCTCGGAAGTGGCTATACTTTATTTCTAACGATTGGTAAACTGTAGACGCTCTCTTTCTCTCATTCCATCTCCCGCTCTGTCGCTATCTATCTTGTTCGGCCATTCTTCCATCGCTCATTCGCTTGCTCGCGCTTTTAAAATAAATGTCTGGCAGCGCGCGCGATGTATTGTGTAAAGTCTGGTATTGATAGTCAGGGTGTCATATTTCCCTCTCACTTAAAGTTCTGCACAAATGCAAACTATAAATAGAACGGCTCATAGCCAACAACCAAACCATTTGCCAAATGGCAACAACAAAATGGCCAAAACTATAAAAAAAAATCGTTCTTTTTTAGTGGCTACAAAAAAGCTCGAGCAATAAAAAAAGAGCAGCAGCAGCAGCAGCATCATCGAGTAATATCAACTAGACCAAACCCCGCGCGTTCGCCTATCAATATTGCATCAATTCAAATGGATCAAACACAAAAGGAAGCGAAACATTTTTGCACATGCACATAAAAATCAACAAAAGCGCACAGAATTCTCTCTCTCTCTCTCTCTCTCTCTCCGCCATAGCAGCAACAACAACAAATCACACAAAATGTAGCAAAAGACGATGAAGATGGCAGAGAGAAATCAAATAAAAGAAAAAAGAAGAAGAGAGACCCAACAACAGCGAGCAGCAACCAAACTGAAACGCAAATAAAAACGCGCGAGTAAAAATAAAATTGCAAAGAGAAGTTTGCTTTTGCCACTCATTCCAAATGCCTGTCACACTGTAAAATGAACATTTGATGAAGCGCAAGAGAGGAGAGGCGAGCAGCCAGGCGACAAAGCCAGTCACACAACAGCAACAACAGCAGCAGAATATAGTGTGGAAAACTATTTCGGAATTGAGAATGGCATAGCGAAAAGGAGAGCAAAGCAAAGCGAAGCGAACGAAAAGCGAGAGCCCGAACGATTTGAGTATGCGAGAGAAAAAGTGTGCGAAAAATAAAACGCAAACGATGAGCCAAAAAGGAACGACTCGGCACGATGCAAAACCGACAAAATCATCACGTTAACTCGAGTTCATATTCACTTCGCGCATCTCTCTTAGCCGAGCGAGAGTGTATGTTCCAAATGATGCATATGGTATGAGTTGCTTCACACAATCCGTTGCCACACCAAACACGTCTCTCGCACATACACAACACCAACACCAACACACCAAAATGTCCACATACATACACAGACGGAAAAGCCGTTCCTATACGCGCGCCAACGACGACAACAACAACGGCAACGACAACGACGGCGTGTTGTTTTTTTTCTCGCACTCACTGAATCTTCCCATATTCTCACGTATGTGTGTTATGTATTTATAGCGCTGATTATATAAAATCCCAAATAAAAACCGTCTGTAGCGTCACATAATGGTGTGCTGGTAGCGCGCGCGCTTACTCACTCTCACTCACTCACTCGCTTGTTCGTTCGTTCGCTTGCCGTACACGGTGTGATAGTGTGTGTATATACGTGTGTTTGATGGATCACTTAACAATTACGACGCTTGCACGCCTGGTATGTGCCTCGGCCTGCTCGTTTTTGTGAATGTGTTATATTGTATTTTGTGTATTGTGTGTGCACAACTTGTATGCGACGAGATCGAATATGTGGTGCTGCTGCCGCTGCTGTTGTTGTTTCCACTCTCTTCGTTTTTTGTCGTTGTTGTTGTTGCTGTTATTTCTCTCGTCTTCTATTCATTCTCTTCCTTTTCAGTTGTCGTTTTGCTCTTCTCTCTGCTGCGTACGTTTTTTTTTCTCTGTGTCCCTCGTCGTGTCGTGTGTGTGCACTGGGTGTACGTTGCTCTCTTCTCGTTCTTTCTCGCACCACACACTATACCGCCGTACGTGTATTCGCGCTGGTTTGTGTGCTTGTTTGTTCGCTTTCTTTGGCTGTTCTCGCCCGCTTTTGTTTGTTGTATATTGTGTGTCGTTTAACACTCACACGGCTTTTCTTCGTCATGTATTTACCACACCAAAACAGTCTGTATGCGACCGGCGTGAAGTTACTATCGTTCTTGCATTTGGTGTTATTTTGTTGGCGTCAATCGTTGAGCTCTCAACTCAGCTTTTCCTCACTCATCGAATCGAGTGAAAACCAACCGCAGTGTTGTTGTGCGTTCGCTTCTTTTTTCGTTGTGTGATACGTTTTTTTCCCTTCATCTGTCTGTTGTTTTTGCATTCGTCGGGAACTTAAAAAAACTCGCTCAACATTTTCAAGCAGTTCTCAAGTCTCGGACTCAAATTCTTATTAGACTTTTGCATCCATAATGTTTTGAACAACAACACAACAACCGAACGAAATATTAAAAAAAACACTTTTTTCGACCACAACGACCAAATTCATTTGCATACCAGTTCGTGATCCGTTTTATTGAGAATTTTTGTGATTTTTTTTTCTCATTGTGCAAAGAATTTGTTTTGACAGGCAATTTTTTGTTTTATCAGTGAAAATATGCAGTTACCAACTGACCAACCAAACTATTTTTGTGCAGTGCAAATGTTGTGCTTTTTGTGAACTTGAACGAAAAAATAGAGATTTTTTTTTATTCTTCGAAAGAAAGAAAAAGAATGTGACATAAATATAAAACACCCATTTTTGAACATAGTTTGTGCAATCCAGTTTCGTGCAAGTCAATGACTAAAATGACACATTAAAAGAAAATAAACAAATCGCTACATTGATAAACAAATTGAATAAACAAATCGAAAGAAGGAATTCTTATGAAAAATATTGACGAGAAGAGAAAAAAAGTTGAACGAGAAACCAGCTCTTCGAATCTGAAACAAATCAAGTGTGGCAACTTTAAATAAGAGTTTCAAGCGATTGAAAAAAAAAACACGAAACAAGAGAAATCGAACCGACGATTTTGTTATAAATATAGAACACTGAATTAGTTAGCTGACTGTTGATGCACGCATGTTGTAATGAGATACGATATTCAAGAATTACAAACGGACGACATTAAGTCTGCAAAAGGAATGTCAATGCATCCATTCCTGCAGCTACCCAGACCAACTGATTTCAGTGTGTCATCACTTTTGACGGCTGGCAATGGGGCCGGAGCCACCGGGCACAATTCATCTAACACATCAGGTATAAGACATGTGAAAATTGCCGAAAAATTCAATTTTGCGTTCGTCGAAGTGCGTGGCGGTCCTTTTTGGTCCGAAGAATTTTTTTACTGTGTGTAAAATGGTGACAAAAATGACAATTCGTTGGAAATGAGTGAAATTTATATGTTGAAGATAGTTTGAGCAACAAATTTTGTTTAATGATCAACGAGCAAAATTTCTTTTCAAAACTTGTAGATTCGATGACAAAAAAATTCAATTCATTTTGATGATTGATTGTTTTGTTTCAAATTTGCACTTTGAACTATTTTCAATCGGTGAATTTCTTCAATTCGAATAAAATGTCATATTTGCGCCGTGAGTGTAAGGAGTTTGAGCCTAATCAATAGTGAATCAACTTCCACAAAAACTTGGATATATTAAAAGAAAATATTCTTGTCTTTCACAAACGGAAGTTCACTTCATTCTTGACTACGGTCCATCTTTCCTACCTTCAAAAACACCCAAAAATTCTTGGACAAAAACCCCGAGCACTTCGATTAATTCAAGATTATTTTTCGTATTTTCATGTTTACGTTTTTGCTGCGGGTGGGGGCGAAACAACATTAGCTTCAAATCAGGCGTGTAGTCCACAACCGAATCCAAATCAAGCATTAAGTCATCCGCATCAACCATATTTTCAAGCGGCCGCTTTGGCCGCACTGGCCAGTTCACCAGGCGGTCATCATCCACACTTGTATCCTGGTGCTTTGTTACCGAAATTGCCTCCACATCCGCATCATCATTTACAGCTCGGCACTCCATACACAACGGCCGAAGATGTTGTCCTTGCATCCGTTGCTGCCCATCAATTGCATCCAATGCGACCGTTGCGCGCACTTCAACCAGAAGACGATGGTGTCGTTGACGATCCCAAAGTCACACTCGAAGGCAAAGAACTCTGGGAAAAATTCCACAAACTCGGCACCGAAATGGTGATCACAAAAAGTGGCAGGTGAGTTCACATTTCATAATTTAATTACTTTGATGCAGTGCAATTTTTGTTGTTGTGAAAAGTGTCAGTGATCATTTGGCCAGCGCATACATCGTGAAATAAAGTTTTTAATCGTTGAGAGATGATGAAGATGTCCAAAATCAAACAAATATCATACTAAAGCCGAAAAGTTTACGAAAAATTGAACAATTGTTGAAAACATCGAAAATACTTATGAAAGCAATGAAAAAGTCCCGAAATTGAAGTTGAAATATCTATTCAACGGTGAAATTGATGACAAATTTACGAAAATAACGAGCATTAACCGTAAAATAATGAAAAATAAGAAATGCCTTATGAACGAAAATATACCCTAGAATGTTGTAAATTGACCGGGAAAAGCATCAACGTTATTAAACAAATTCGAGAGAAAATTGCTAAAAAGTCGTAAAATCACCGAAGAAATAGAAAAAAATGTGAAATGAAAGAAGAAAGTTGTCATTACATCTCAAAAAGCAACATGAAACATCCACATCAAAGTGTTCAAAGTTCCTTTGAAAAATGAATCAAGTTCAAGTTTCGCCAAAAACGAATCGTCTAAATCGTAAAAGAAACTCAAAAACTCCACAAAACACACTGAATTCCTATGTAATTCGCATCGAATGTGACGTGCGCACGGAATAAAATTTACCGACGGCATTTTGCGAACGCAGAATAGGAACGCCCCATCTACACTTCGCAGAACTTCGTTTCGTGTATGTGACAAAGTTGTTGTGTTGGAAAAAAGCAGCTCCGAGATACAAATTGATTCTTGAAAATTGAAAAGTCGTCTCACGTGAGTGTAACCGCAATTGCACGTAAAAGAGCAACAAATCGACGAATCTTTGATAAAAATTACATTAATTCTACCAGCGCAAATAATTTGCAATCATTAGTTAATTTCGCGTTGATCAACGAATTTATTGCACGACACAGAACATATATTTCTGTTCTGTTTTTTTTTCTGTGTGAGACATGCAAAGAGACACAACACACACGAAGTCTCTAATCGCATGAACATTGTAATCTGATTGCAACAAATTAAATGGTTTGATAGAATGATTGAGCGAAATTCGTGTTCAATAAACACGTGAAATTGATTTCATGGAAAAAAATACGTCGTGCGCGCGTTTACAAAAGGGGAAAAAAAGTCGTCTCCAGTAAAGAAAGTATAACACGAAAATAAATGAGCCGAATGCCAATCAATTATCTCTTGAAACGTATGCAAAAAAGCCAAAACAAGTCGCAAGAAGTGCATGAAAATCGGGAGCGAGTAAAAAAAAGTGTCACATTTGATGTCACAAACAAATTTAAATGAGTTTATTCCAGTGGCTCATCCTCTGTCGAAAAGTAGTGAAAAAAATGTCAAAATTGCCACGCAAACGGGAAAGAAACAGTCGAGCTGAAAAAGTATGACAATCCAATTACAAATGGATTGGTGCTGCCCGTTTTTCTCTTGCTCTTCGGTCATTTTGTGGTGAAAATGTTCTTTTTTCTTTAATTCCAAATTAAATTACACGCTTCCCCGCTGCCGCCATCGTGGCGCTTGACAAAAGTTGCATACACACATTTCAAGGATAATTTCCATTTAATTGTGGAAAAAAACGTCGATTTTCGGACGAAATACCAAAATCGATTGAATGCATTTCAGTAGAAAATTATGTTATTTGCGCTCAAAAAGTGCGACTCAAAAAGTACGGCCGCCTCTTTATCCATTTTTGGTTGGCTAATCATCTAATAAATTGCCAGCTCGACGATTCTTTGCCATTTTAATGGTGTCACATTTCTAACGTGCACCACTTTGGGTAATTTGCAGTGAGAAAGAGCGCGCGCGTGAAAATTGCACCGAACTCACTCAATGTTTTTGGGGCCGATTGATAAAGCAATTCCGTATGTTGTTCACTATAATCACTTAATTTTCGATTTATGAACGATGAGAGTGCGAACAAGCAACGCGCTAGCGCTAGTTTTTTATGCCTAAACGAACGACGAGTAACGCCGTCGTCGCCGTTGCTGCCACACTCAAAACTCGATATTGCCAATTTCGTTTGCGGCGATTGATCGCGACAATAATGGCGTTGTGAGACAGCAACGCACAAAAACGGGCAAAAATGTCACCAACCCAACCGAATGATTTATGCTCAATAATAATTTTCATAATACATAAATTTTTACAATATACGGCACTCGAGTGAGAGAGAGTGCGACAATAATCACCAGCCGCTCGACTGACAACATCCAATGTTTTAATTTATTTATTGCACTCTTTTTCCCGTCTCTTCATTTCGTTTTTTTTCCTACCTCTTCTTTGCTGTGCCCAACAGCAATCGCGATGCACATATAATTACAACCGAGCGAGACTCGATCAACTCTGATTCATAGAAATGATTATCCAGCTCCATTTTTAACACTCATCATTTTTCCACACACACAATCGGAAGCAAAAAAACAACAACAAAAACGATGAGGAATTTTGCCATTTGTCATTGAGAAATTTACCACTTTAACAAACTGCCCAAGTTACAAGATTGGAAGTGAAAGAGAAAAATATTAACGATTTTTTTTTTCTTGATCTGGAAAAATGAAATTCTCAAGGCTTTGAGATCATTCGATTGAAGAAACTCGATTATTTTATTGAAAAGATTGAAAATTGAGCGATTTTTGACGAAATTGTGCAAGACATTACGTCTCTTTGGAATGATTTGAAGGTTTAGACTACGAAACCCAAAGAAAGTTCAGAAAAGTCCAAAAGCCACGAAGGCGAGAAAAATTGGTGCAAAAATCAACTCTGGAGTTTTTCCAATCGAAAATTAGTCTAAATGAATTCTGAATCTACTGAGAAAAAAATGAAAAATTTCAATTCAAATCATTTCAAATGAATTCATTTACATTCGATTCAAGTCCAATTGGCTCAAGCGTTAGTCGCCTTCGGATTCGTTCATACGGAATGGTGTTTTGGTTGACGAAGTGTGTTTTAATGTGTCCTAAAATCATAATTTCATTCTGTGTGATGTGGGTGTAAAACGACGAAAAATTGCGGTGACGCGGAATAAATCATTGAAAAATCTATCTGTGCCTTCCCATTTCCTTGCTCCGAATCGTGTGTTTGTGCGCGTTCATTAGACAGAATTGGTAGCGGTTTCAGAATATTTGACGCGGCGTACATCTTCAAATCATTCATATTCAATCTTCAATTCTCCATTGGCAAAAGTCGGTAGCTGTTTTTCGGAATTAAATTATACGAATCAATTTAATCGCGAGCGCACACACCAAGTGAGCGACAGTGGCAGAAGAGAGAGAGAGAGATATGCTCGGCTATGTGTGGGGAGAGTGAGCGCGAAAAAGTGCTAGAATTTATCTTGTTAATAAACGGGCCATGAGTGTGTATATGGCAGCCCTCGGAACATGATTACGCTGCGATTAAGTGAACATTCATCGGTTCATGATGAGAATTTTCAAGCGGCTGAAAATGAAAGCACGAAAAATAAAAATGAGAAGAACGAACGAACACACCGCAGAGCAAGAACGAGCGAATTGCACTTGAATGTGCTGGTTTGTGTGTTAATGCATTTTGCAAAACGGGTGTTTGTTTGGTCGCAAACGCGTGAAACAGCCGTTCCACTAGGCAGTCGGTTTTTTTTTATTTCGTTCCTCTTTTCGAACCGAGCATTGCCTTAATTGTTTTAACAAAGCTGAATTAATTCGACTTCATTCACTTTTGATTCGGGGATCAGTCATACGCGACTGAGGAGAGTGAACGCGATAAACAAACGCGTATTCTCTTCGAATTTGTTATTCAGAAGCAAGCCACAGTAGTGCACAATTGCTGTCGCTGTTGTCGACTGCACTGATTAATTATATAATTTCGATTAATTAGAATTAATCAAAGCTGCGTTTTGTGCATGTGTTTTAATTAGAACAAGTACAGCACCGGGTTTCCGAGATTGCGAGGGTCGACCATTACTTCTTACGTTTGTGCTGCTGCTGCCAGCTAAAGTGTTTGCATGAGAGGAATTTTAAAGCAAAATTAATTGCGGTCATAAAAATTGAAGTGAGTAAAATTCAAAACAAATGTGACCAGCCACGTCACCATTCGTTACTCTTTTGCGTGCAATCGCAATCGTTCAATCTCGAAATGCAAGTGACAAACATGTGTTTATTTAAATTTTTTCTCAATCGAGATTTATTTTCATTTCGTTTTTGGCTACCGCAAAATCCCGCACTATGCTTGATTCATGGCAACGAATCGCCTGAAAAATTCAACGTCGTGCAATTTGTTTCTCTTCCTTTTGCTCAACAAACACTGGTCGAACAAAATATGCGGTACATTTCATAAATACACACCGTCGATAATTCGTGAAACATTCCGAAGAATGCCGCTCGAAAATCATTCAATTGTTTCCAAATAAAATGATTGGTTCAATCGATCGATTTAATAATAGTTTTTTGTCGTCGTAGTTCTGAAAATCAAAATAGTATTGCACCGTTGGTGTGTGCATTTAGAAAGTCTGCATTTCGCTTCCGCCGACGTTTTGATGGTTGTTGTTTTTTTTGTCGTCAAAGCGTGTGTCGCTCGTGTTGATGCAATCAATAATTTATATAACTTCGATTTCAATCCAAACGACAAATGATCTGAAAATGTGCAATCTGATTGATGAGCCAAGACACAATGTTTTGATTTTCAAATACGGTTTTGCTAACCATTCATTTTTTTCCCTTTCTTTCTTTCATCCTTTCGAATGTAATTTTTTTATCTATTTGCGGTTTGAAAGTGGCTGCCAAAGTGGTTTTACAAAATTCATTGAAATGACTAACAACGCCCATTGTCACAAATTGTGATTGACGAATAACGCCTGATATGAAAAATTGAAAAAAAAAATGATTGAAACCGAATTCCGATATTGTATTGCAGCTCGGAAAGCGTTAAGCATGATTCGGTATGGTGTGGTTCTGGTGAAATATGCAATATAGGTCTGCAAGAT